GTTGTTTTGTGGTCCAAAATATCATCTAATCTTAAGAATATTCCATGTGTACTCTTCTGTTGTTGAGTGTAGCCTACTGTATATGCCTGTTAGGTATAACTGGCATACAGCATTGTTCAAGTCCTCTAGTTTCTTGTTGATCTTTTCTGGTTGTTCTCTCCATTACCGAAAGTAGATTATTAAAGTCTCCAACTACTAATGTAAAACTGTCTTTTCCTCCCTTCAAGTCTTTCCATTTTTGCTTCATATATTTAGGGGCTGTGTTGTTTGAGTCATATATGTTTATAATTGCTATATCTTCCTGATTAATTGAAACTTTTATCAATACATAATGACCTTCATTGTTTCCTGCAACCTTTTTTCACTTAAAATTGATTTTTTTTCTGGTGATAATACAGATCTTCCTCAATTTACAATGGGCTTACATCCTGATAAACCCATCATAAATTGAAAATATCGTAAGTCAAAAATGCATTAATACACTTAACCCACTGAACAACATAGCTGAGCCTAGCATACCTTAAATGGGCTCAGAACACTTACATCAGCCTATAGTTGAGCAAAACCATCTAACATGAAGCCTGTTTTACAATAAAGTGTTGAGTATTTATGTAATTTCATTGAAATTGAAAAAGAGAACAGTTGTATGGGTACAGAATGGTTATAAGTGTATCAGTTGTTTACCCTCATGATTGTGTGGGTGACTGGGAGCTGCAGCTCACTGCTACTGTCCAGCATCATAAGAGAGTGTCATATCACATATTGCCAGCCTGGGAAAAGATGAAAATTTAAAACCTGAAGTACAGTTTCTACTGAATGCATATGGCTTTCACACCGTCATAAAGTCGAAAAATTTTAAGTTGAACCATCGTAAGCTGGGGACCATCTGTATAGCCACTCTAGCTCTGTTTGGTTATTAGTATTTGAGTGGAATATCTTTTCCCATTCTTTTACTTTCAACCTCATTGTGTCTGTTATCTGAAATGAGTCTCTTTTAGACTTTATATGCATGATTTATTTTTTTTATTCTGCCAATCTTTGCCTTTTAGAGAATTTAATCTATTTATATTTAAAGTACTGATAAAGAATGATTTATTTCCACCGTTTAGCTATTCATTTACTGTATGTTTCATACTTTTTTTATTGTTGTTCCTCAGTTCCTCCATTACTGCACTTTTGTATTTGGTAGATTTTATGCAGTGTACCATTTGATTCTCTTCTTATTACTTTCATGTATATATTTTCGTTATTTTCTTAATGGTTATCATGGAGATTACAATTAACATCTGAAACTTATAATAACCTTATTTGAATATTACCATGTTGGTTTCAATAGTATACACCCTATTCCTGTACATCTCTATCCCTCCTACTTTATATGGTTATTACCACAGATGATACATTATGTGCCCATTAACAAAGATTTATAAATACTGTTCTATATATGTGCCTTTTAAATCATATAGAAAAAAATAGTTAAAAACCAAAAATACAATAAATCTATCTTTTACATTTACCTATGTGGTTACTTATACTCGCATTCTTTTTTTCTTCATATGGCTTTCAGTTACTATCTAGTGTCTTTTTATTTCAGCCTGAAGAACTCTCTCTACCACTTCTTGTAAGGCAAGTCTACGAACGAGCTTCCTCAGTTTTTGTTTACCTGGGAATATCTTAATGTCACCTTTATTCTTGGAGAACAGTTTTGCCAGATACAGAGTTCTTGGTTGACATTGTTCCTTCAACACTTTAAATATGTTAGCCAACTGCTTCTGGCTTCCATGGTTTCTGATGAGAAATCAGTTGTTAATCCTATTGAGGATCCCTTGTATGCTATGAATCACTTCTCTGTTGCTTTCAAGATTCTCTTTGGCTCTAGCTTTTGAAAATTAGACTATTATGTGTTTTAATGTAGGCCCCTTTGAAATCATCCTGCTTGGAGTTCACTGAGTTTCTTGGATGTGTAAATTCATGTCTTTCACCAAATTTGAACAGTTTGGGCCATATCATTTCTTAAAATACTCTTTCTGCCTCTTTCACTCTCCCTTCACTTTATGGTATCCCACAGGTCCCTTAGACTCTGTTCACTTTCCTTCATTCTTTCTTCTTTCTGCTCCTCAGACATGATCATTTCATTTGTCCTATTCAGGTTCACTGAGTCTTTCTTCTGCCTGCTCACATTTGATGCTAAATCCTTCTACTAAACTTTTTATATCAGTAATTATACTTTTCAGCACCAAAATTCCTATTTCATTCCTTTTTATACTTTCTAGCTCTTTATTGCTATTCTCATTTTGTTCATGCATCATTTTCTTGAATTCCTTTAGTTCTCTGTCCATGCTTTCCAAACCTTTCAACTTGCTCTACAGGAGCAACAATTCAATCAATTGCTATGTTTAAGAGTAAAAAAGAAAAAAATACCAGGAAAATTAATCAATTATGAAAGCTCCATATTAGGCCTTTTGAAACCTTATTATACATTTTTAAGTTGTTAATTCACTAAAAGTATAATGTAGTCCACATCAGAGCTTATCAAATATCACTGGGTCATGAAATTAATTTACTGAGTGGATCAAGATCAACATTTATTTAACTTAATAGTACAGAATAGAAAATATCAATTGCACTGTTCATAAGGCTATATATTACTTCATAAAATTTTTACTTCTATTTTGTGTATATATGAAAGCCATTCTCTTTCTACTATACCGTAACACTATCCCAACAGAAGAAAGAGGCTAAAAGAGGACACACCCTACCACAGCACCATCTTAAGCATAGGAAAGGATTACTCATTGTACTGCAATGAGGTTCATATGCAATTACTTATAAAATTACTTAGAATGAAAAAGATTTATTTTACTACTTTTATCAGATTATTACTTCATATATAACTAATTCATAATTCAGAAACCATAAAAATCTGAAGCAAACACCTAATTTATCATAAATTAATGGGTTCCAAAATACCTCACATTCTAGGGAAGATTTACATAATTAGTCTCAAAGCTGTAAATATTAGATAAATTCATAATACTTAACTGGCATATTGTCTTGTTCCTTAAAGAACTTTTTAGTTTCCCTCTATTTCAACCATAAATATGACCTTATTTTTACAAGGAACACACTTGGCACTCTGGTCAACTGGTACCTATTTGTGTTATATCAGATTTAAATATATAGCAAATTTAATCCATTTCTTAATAAATACATAGACTTTTTAAATGTTTCATTGTGAAGTATAACTTGCTGGGAAATTTCCGTCACAAAAAAATCACACCATGTCTATAAAATTTATAATTTACCTCAAAGATTAATTTGTTTTAACAGACTTAAGAACTTCATAAAATGCTTTGCTAGTGAATAATCCTGTACATAGCAGAAATAGATCAGGACAAATATTACAACAGGTAAGACTGTTGTTGCACAATTAGCCTGAGCAGACAAAATAGGCACCCTTATAAATTGCAGGATTCTTAACACATAAATTGGATTGACACACCTAGTACTATTTAGGATAGTCTTTCCAAATTTCTTCTAATACTGAGCTTTCAGTTAATTCATATGCAGTGTTTAAATTTAGGGATCTTCAGGGACTTCCCTCGTGGCCCAGTGGTTAAGACTCCGCGCTCCCAATGCAGGGGGCCCGGGTTTGATCCCTGGTCAGGGAACTAGATCCCACATGCGGCAACTAAGAGCCTGCATGCCACAACTAAAAGATCCCACATACTGCAATTAAAAAGATCCTGCATGCTGCAACTAAAAAGATCCTGCATGCCGCAACAAAGATCTCACACATGGCAATGAACATCCCACGTGCTGCAATTAAGACCCAGCACAGCCAAATAAATAAATAAATATTTAAATAAATCAATAAATTTAGGGATCTTCATATTATTTCTGACTTCATCTCAGATCAGACTTAAGTCTAGGACTTTACTGATACTCTGCTTTTCCTGGGAACTATTAGGACTACATCTCAATTCTAAACTTAAAAAATAGTTCTGACAAAGTTCTTGAGTGGAATTATTAATTCTTTCTTTCAACAAATGTTTGCCAAGGGCACTGTGGGTAGAGTGGTAAATGTGCATAGCCTCTGCCCTCATGGAACAGACTCCTTTATTCAAGGTCTAGAAGAGTACAGTCTATTGGCATGGAAAAAATGGAAAGACTGTAGGGCAGTAGGGCTTTGGAGAATCCAAGCTTCAAATCCCAGGTCCACTGTCTACTATACATTAGGCAAGTTTCTTAGTCTCTCTAAGCCTTAATCTCTCCCTTTACAAAATGAGTTTAAATCAACTATTTCCACAAAGTTATTTCAAAGGTTAAATAAAAACTACAAAAAGTGCCTAGTACAATAGAGGGAACATTACTAAATATTCAAAATATTCACAAATTCAGGGACTGGCACATACAATCCATTCAATATCCACTCTGAGACAAGAAACCTTAAATACCATTTCCAAAGAAAGTGAATCAACCAGAAAATACACATGATACTATATTTAATCCAATTATTGCACCTAATATAGGTAATTACCATCTTTTTCTTCATTTTATACTCCTTAACTTGGACTTCCATTTAAAAGATATTTTAAAACATGTAAGCATGTCATCTAGTAACATAAAAGAGGAATTAAAAGTTAATTTTTAAAACCTCATGCTGACCCAAACTGCATACTGTTGTTACCTAAAGCAAAATTTCGCATAAAATTGAAGTAACAAAGGAATAAATTAATAAAATGGCTGGTCAAAGAAGTTCAGGCACTTATTAAAAAACACAAAAAAGTTAATTTATCAATTACAGCCATGGCACTCTAGTTCACTAACCCAAATATTCATAGATACATAAAAAGGATGACTTATTTTAGTCTCTGAACATTACAATATGTATGTTGCTATGTATGTTGCTACAACATAGCAATCTTTCAAAGTGTTGCTGCAAGAAAACAATGTTGAGTTAATACAAGTAAAACCATTTTATAGATGCTAAAATTTACCTGTTTGAGTCCTTCATCAGTAAGTTTGTCCTGGTTGCCTACATGAACTTTCTGAAGTAAAGGACAGTGAGAAGCAACCGCAATAATAGAGGTGTCAGAAAGCTGTTTACACCTGTAGGCTGTATACCTAAGAAGTCCAGGACACTTAAATGCTAGAACACACACGCCAGTATCAGACATACTGCGACAATCAGAAATGTTGATTTCAATTATATTTTGACTTCTTGATGCAATTTTTTCCAATAATTCATCAGTGACCTATGAGAGAGAAGAAAAGCAATAAATTTAAAAATCTGCTAAAAGTAGAAACTTACATTCTATTCTTTTATTAAATTCTCCCCAATAAATAATAATTAGATTATAGCATGAAAACCACAATCAAAAGAAAACCTTCTTACTTAATATTAAAGCATAATAAGAACTGTGGTATAATAAAAAAATGTATTTGGTCTTTGTCTCCAGTTCCTGGAACAGAGCTCCTAAAGTTCTAGGCATTTCCTGAGTGATAGGAATGTCTTTTGTTATTTTTAACAAGCCCCTTTTACCATGCCTGAGTTTATACTAATGAAATGACTTAAGCTGGGGCCCCTAGATAGCTTCAGGATGGGGGCTGGTCACCAGAAAGACCAAACACCATGTGATTAGAGGGTGGAAACTTTCAGCCCCATCCTCCGATTTCCTGGGAGGGAAGGGGAGCTGGAGACTGGATTATAAAAACTCTTGAACACTGAGATTTGAAGGGCTTCTGGGTTGGTGAATACATCAAAGTGCTGGGAGGTCAATGTGGGTGTAAACAATATAGAAGCTCCAAACTCTCTCCCCCCATACCTTGCCCTATGCATATTTTCCATTTGGCTGGTCCTGGTTTACATCCTCTATAATAAATCAGTGAACATAGTATTTTCCTGAGTTGTGATCATTCTAGCAAATTATCACACCTAAGGAGGGGGTTGGGGGAACTTCCAAATTTACAGCTGGTCAGTCAAAAGTACAGGTGGCTCCTAGGACTTGTGACTGGCATATGAAGTGGAGACAGTCTTATGGGACTGAGCCCTTAACCTGTGAGGTCTGCACTAACTCCAGGAGTTAGTGACATAATTGAACTGAATTGTTGGACACACATTTGGTGTCAGAGAATTTGTTGTCAGAATGGAAAAAAACACAGATTTGGTGTCAGAAAACACCAAGTGATAATGTATGTGTTAGTTTTCATTAAACGCCTAAAAATCTATCCTCATTAGGAAAACATACTTTAAACTTTCAAACTCACCAAAAACTCCCCACAAACAAAATTGTATTGAGATTTGGAGTTGGTTCTGTTTTTAACCCAACAAATAGTATATATCAGCCATCATGATGTATGACTCTTGACTTTTCACACTTATTATGAGATGATACCTACCAAAGTATATAAATTTCAATTGTTTTACTACTTTTATCAGAATACATTACATATAACTAAATCCATAGCTTAGACAATATATCATTTTGGGTTTCAGCACACTGAAGACTTCATAGAAAAGTCCATTTAAAAAAAGTTTTTCTCGGGCTTCCCTGGTGGCGCAGTGGTTGAGAGTCCGCCTGCCGATGCAGGGTACACGGGTTTGTGCCCCAGTCTGAGAAGATCCCACATGCCGCAGAGAGGCTGGGTCCGTGAGCCATGGCTGCTGAGCCTGCGCATCCGGAGCCTGTGCTCCGCAACGGGAGAGGCCACAACAGTGAGAGGCCCGTGTACCGCAAAAAAAAAAAAAAAATGTTTTTCTCGGAAGACTCAAAGCTACCTGTAAGTAACCTTAAAATTCATCTGCTGAAAAATTCATATGGCCATCTCAATTCTTTAAACAAATTTTAAAAACCAACCTCTACACATTACCTGCCCAATCATATTTCCAAAAAAAGAAAACAGAGTTAACATTATTCAAGTCTTTTGTGCAAAAATAATGATGAGAGAAAATGCACATGATGAAATTTAGAAAGGAAAAAGAAGGGCTTCCCTGGTGGCACAGTGGTTAAGTATCTGCCCATCAATGCAGGGGACACAGGTTTGAGCCCTGGTCTGGGAAGATCCCATATGCCACAGAGCAACTAAGCCCATGCACCACAACTACTGAGGCTGCACTCTAGAGCCCACGAGCCACAACTACTGAGTCCGCGTGCCACTACTGAAGCCTGCGCACCTAGAGCCCGTGCTCCGCAACAAGAGAAGCCACTGCAACAACGAGAAGCCCATGCACCGCAATGAAGAGTAGCCCCCGGCCACCACAACTAGAGAAAGCCCACACACAGCAACGAAGACCCAACGCAGCCAAAAATAAATAAATAAATAAATTTATTTGAAAAAAAAAAAAGAAAGGAAAAAGGAAAGAATTGGAGTGTTGAGGGATACAAGGAGTAAGAGCCAAGGCTGAAAATACCTTTGTTTACGCTTGTTGGAAACAGCATACCTCTCTTTTTTTTTTTTTCTTTTTTCACCTCCAGATCTAACTACCAGGAGAGGGGAAAAGCTCTTCTTAGTCTGAGTTTGTAACAAATAGCTCAGACAACCAAGACTAATGAAGTAAAGAGCCAATGGATTACTTCACGTTACCTCTCTCCACTGTACCAGCCACAACTAACTAAATATTCACCATTCCCCCTGGACACAAATTTCATGAACCTGGACAGGTAAATGACTAATTCTATCACTGTCTTAACCTCTTACCAATGAGGCAGTAAAACAAAAAGAAAACTCATACACAAATGCTCAGGAACTTGCTTATTTTGTTTAAAGTACATGTGTTTATAAACACACACAAATGCTACCACTGGTGTGTTGGAGTTGGCTTGTACCATATCACAAGTCTATAGTATATACCACTTTCGAAGTCAGGCATATCACTACATTCAGTGACATCACATTGGTAGCTTGAAATGGGTCATGGTGAAAATATTTGTACAACAAAAACTGGAAAATATAACAAATCAGGGCTTTTTCTTTGCTCATTTGTTTTTGAAAGCCAGCTGTTAAACATTTAGCAGCACATCACTAACAATATCATGGAAGGATTTAGAGCAGGTTTAGTAGTCTAATAAAATCCTATTCTTATTGGATATCTTTTTTATGTTTCCAATGCCAAGCACTGAAAACCAAGTTTAAGGGAAGAATTTAACAAGTCCAACAAATTATTTGTAATAAGCACTATTAACTATCTTCTTTCCTAATTTATGCCACCATATAAACATATTGGCAGTCGGGCAATGGGGAGGATTAGAAAATTCATCAAAATGAAAATTAAAACAAAATATCTTATTCCATTTTCCTTCCATTTCTTCACACAAAATAACATTATAAGTATACTGCTATGAAAAGTATAATAATAAATTAATAGGGATAATGATAGTATCAACTCATAAGATGGTTGATCAAATAAATACATATAAAGCTCACTGAACAGTATGTACATGGCACATCAGCAGCACTATATAAATGTTTGCCTTATTTTCTACTATTAAACTAATATTCATAAAATGACCCCTCCAAAAAATGAAAAGTTTAATAACTCTTTTTAAAGGTAGTAAAAACTGGTGGGGGTGGGATGAAGAGGACTAAGACAAAGAGGATTAAGAGCCAACCCAAAATTACCAATCCAAACTAAAAAATGTATTCTTCATCATAGGAACCTAGCTTCAACTTGAATTTGAAAAAAAATTACTAAAGCACAGAATTATAGATTACAGTCATTTGAACTATCTTGAAAAACAGCGTGAAAGAAGTGATTTCTGAGGAGGAAAAAGATATTTTTTGAATAGGTCAACCTGAGTGTTTCTTTAGAATTAGAATCCATACCTGCTGACGACTACTAAGATCCAGCTGCTTCCAAAACTGGAAATCTAAACAAAGGTCACGCCAGTACTTGCAAACCAATGATGCAGAAAGGCAACGCTCATCCAGGGATAAATTGGAAAATATCTGTGAATAAAAAAGGAACCACATAATATGCGCTAAAAATTTTAAAGGCAATGAAAAGGTCTTCATCAGTTAGAAAAAATTACCCTTTTTTTTTTTTTTTTTTTTTTTTTAATTTATCCTTTCTGTCAAGGGCTGACTTTAAATAGATCGCAGTGAGGGAGCTGCTCTGCTATGTAAGACACCCTGACCCAGAAGCAGGTCATCTACGAATGGTTTAGCACCAGGTTCCCTATGAAAGTGTGTTGTGTGAAGGGCGAGGGGGCACAACAGGCAAGGGGGTGGCCGCCTTTCCAGCCATGAAAAATCAACTTTAAAAACAGAAAACCATCTTAAGTACAAGTGGCCATTATTAAAAGAGTCATTGTTATGGACTGTCCTAAAGAGGAAGTATGATATGGGAGAAGCTAAGAACACAACCAAGAGAGGGAAAAAAAAGCAAACACTCAAATTACTAAAATCATGAATAAATAGAGACATTATTACCAGCCTTACAAAAACAGAATTATAAGAGAATATTATGAACACTGTATGCCAACAAATTAGATAACCTAAAGGAAACAAACTTCTAGAAACATAAAAACTACAGAAAACTGACTCAGAAGAAATAGAAAATTTGAATAGACCTATAACAAGTAGAAATATTAAATCAGTAATCTAAAAACTTCTAACAAAGAAAGACCAAGGACCAGATGGCCTCAATAGTGATATATTTAAAGAAGAACAAATACAAATTCTTCTTAAATTCTTCCCAAAATTGGAGCATGAGGGAACCCTTGCTAATTCATTCTATGAGGTTAGCATTACCCTCATACCAAAGCCAAAAACATCACAAGAAAACTATAGACCAACGTTCCTTATGAATTTAAATGCAAACAATCCTAACAAAATACATTTGACCCTTGAACAATGCAGAGGTTTGGGGTGTTGACCCTCAATGCAGTCGAAAACCCAAGTATCACTTTTGGTTGGCCCTCCCTATATGCGGTTCCTCACCCATGGATTCAACCAACCAAGGATCATGTAGTACTACAGTATTTACTCTTGAAAAGAAATCTGCATGTAAGAAAACCTGCACAGTTCAAATCCATGTTGTTCAAGGGTCAACTGTATTAGCAAACTGAATCCAGCAGCATATTAAAAGGATCATACACCATGGCCAAGTGGGATCTATCCCAGGAATGCAAAGATGGTTCAACATGCAAAAATAAATCCATTTAACATATTAATCCATTTAACCATATTAATAAAATGAAGGTTTAAAAAACCCAACCAACTCAATTAATGCAGAAAAAGCATTTGACAAACTCCAATACCCTTTCTTGACAAAAAATACTCAGAAAACTAGGAATAAAAGGAAACTTCCTTAATGTGATAGATGGCATCTATAAAAGTTCCACAATTATCATTATACCTAATAGTGAAAGACTGAATGTTTTCCCCTGAGATGAGGAACAAGAAAAAGATTTCTACCATCTCCACTCCTATGCAACATCGTATTGGAGATTCTGGCCTGGGCAATTATGTAAGGAAAAGAAATAAAAGGCATCCAGGTTAGAAAGGAAGAATTAAAATGTTCCATAGTCACAGATATCATGATCTTATATACAGAAAAAAAAATACATACAAAAATTTAGAGCTAATAAGCAAATATTTCTGTATACTAGCAATGAACAAATCAGAAATGAAATAAGAAAGCACTTCTATTTGCAACAGCATCAAAGAATACTTTTTTATACTTTCCACTTCTTCATACTGAGATTTCCCATTTGTTGGGTCAATGTTATCATATTCTTCTATAATTTAAATCATGTTTCCTTCCATTCTTTTAACATGTTTATAATAGCAGTTTAAAGTTTTTATCTGCTAAGTCTAATATCTGTGCCTACTCAGTTTCTATTAACTGCTTTCTTTTCTCTCAGTATAGGTTCCACTTTTTTCTGTCTCTTTACATGTCTCAATTTTTCATTCAAAACCAGACATTTTAGATAACATATTGTAGCAACTCTGGAATTTGATTTACTTTTCAGAATTTTTTTTCAACTTTAATCTCCCTGGCCTTAAATGGTAGGATATGAGTCCCCTGAAGTTTGAATGTCTCTGCTCAAGTTTTAATTCTTATTCATATTTTTTTTTTAGCCTGGCTTCCTAGGGAGGTCAACCTGTGTCTAAATTGCTTAGTTTCCAGCTAGTTATTTGGGCAAAGATATGCTCAAACATCTCAAGTCTGCTCTCCAATCTGTGCGTGGGATGGGAAAAGCATATTCAAGGCTTATACTCAAGTCTGCTTTAGCCCTTGCTTTCTGCTAGATACTCTCAAGTCTCCCCTGCACATATGCATAGTTTCAGAGTAAGCCAAGGATATGTTAAGAGCTTATTATCCCTTTATGGTTCTCTCTTTTCCAAGGTCTGCCTGTTAAACTCCTAGCTCGTCCCCCACTCATCCCAACTGGCACCACAACATGAGACTTGCAAATATGTGGGTTTTCACCATTTTTTTCCTAACAAGTTCATCACTTTTAGTTGACAAACACAGGTTGTTACTTATTGCCCCAAACTAAGTTACCCTCTTAAGACACCTAAGCTGCTGGTTTTCCAAGCTCCTGATTCTTGCCAAAGGTACTGGGGTTCGAGGGTACAGTAGGGGCCTCATTCAAGTGTGGTGTAGACCTCCACTATTCTTACCTGAAGCTCTAGTAGTTTTCCTAAGAATAAATGCGTCTCATTTTGTTGTGTGCTTTTGGTCGATTTCCAAAGCCCAAATAGTTTTGGGCAATTCTTCCCAGTTATTTTATATATATATATATAAAATATATATATATAATTTATATATATTTATTTTGTGTTTGTGGAGAGGATTCACCAAACTCTTCATGCAGCCAAAGCTGGAAGTCCTTCTCTGGTGGATATTTTTAATGCTTGTTCCCCTCATTTTATAGATGAGAGAATTTAGAGAGATTTAGAGAGACTAGATCATTTGTTTAAGGTTAAAGGACTACATGGCTTTAAAGGGCTGATTTGTCCCTTAACAAAGAGAAGATTCGTGGAACATAGTCACTGGAACCAAGAAACACCTTGTTTAAAATATGTCCGACTTTCGATCATACCTTCTTTGAACCTTAGTTTTCTCCTTTGTAAAAGTGAGAGGATTGTTATCATTAACACAAAATTGACTAATCTAGATAGATCTAGATGGGTCTTATTTATTCAGGTGAAAGGAAATTAGTGAGTAAAGATAAAACCAGTACCAGCAAAGATGGATAAAAGTAAAAAGGCAAAATACTCAGCTAAAATACCAATGCATATTTAATAGATCTTTGCATATGGTTTGTGGTAGGCAACCTACAAAATGGCCCTCAATGACCCCACCTGCTGGTATTTACACCTGTGTAATTCTCTCCTCTTGAGGGTAAACTGGATTTACTGACTCACTTCTAATGAACAGAGTATGGCAGAAGAGATTAGATTAAGAAAACTGTGGCTTCCATTTTGAGTGTTCTTGACTCTGTTGCTCTATGTGATTAGCCCTATGGAGAAGCCCAAATGGCATGGCAAGAAACTTAAGCATCTGGCCAACGGCCAGTAAGGACCTGAGGCCTGCCAAAAGCCATGCAAGTAAGCTTGGGTGAAAATTCTCAAGTCCCATTCGAGTAGCCCCAGCAAACACCTGAATATAACCTCGTAAGAGACCTTGGATCAGAAGGACCCAGCTAAGCCACAAAGGGATTCTAACCCACAGAAAATATGAGGTAATAAATGTTTGTGGTTTTAAACTGCATAATTTGTTAAACAGAAATAATTAACTAACACGTGTTTAAATATTCCCCCTTTTCTTTCTGTCATTAAAATGCTATCTCGCCCCTATCCTAACTCCTCAGAAAAAAACTACTATGCACCATGCTATTTTCTTAGCTCATTTAACAAACATCTGTGCACATGTACCTAGGTTTCTGTGGGAGACACTAAGACATGAGATTTATTCACTGGTTTCAAGATTATATGGTCAAAGGCATTTCTGAATTATCTCTGGATCATCTGAGATTCAAGAGAAAGAACATTTCAAAGGTTGCTTTGAAGAAAGAGAACATAGGTCTGTAAAGGACTGGCCTGGAACATTTTTGCTAAATAAGAAAGAGGAAAAAATGACAATGAAAAAACTGAAATGGCACTTGCATCAAGCCAGGAAATTGCTTACTTTAACACAGGCCTGTTAGCAACGTCTTGAGCGTGACAGAAGTCCAAGCCAAGTAGGTACTCTAACGCTGTATTAGATCGAGGGATCTATCATCTTATATCTTGTTGCTCTTTCATCACTGCCCGAATTTATAGGGTTGAAAATGGGTTACTCTTTTAATACAGGTGGTCTAGCCCTGGAAAAGGGAAGAGGAAGCAAAAGGACAAGCAGCTGCCTTTTATAGTATGATCTGGAAGTCATATACATTGCTTCCATTCACATCCTGTTATCCAATATTTAGTCACATAGCCACCCCTATATGAGAGGCTAAGAAAGTCTCTAGTTAGGTAATCATGTGCCTAACTAGAACACGATGGGTACTGTTACTAAAAATAATATAAGGCGAATGGATATTGGGAAACAACAATGACTTCTAGTCAGGACCTGGGTTGAAAACATGCTTAATATTCTTAATCTTTACTGGCAGATCTGGACAATGCAACTAAGCTATTAATTACCAGAAAATGTACAAGCCATATTACTGATATAATCTGAACTAATCACTACCAGGCCAATATCCAAATATTTCTAAAACTTGAAGATTCTATTTTTGACTGAGACATTGACATAAGGTATCAGAAGATATTTCAGACTAAAAAAACTTCCAGAGAACGTATCATTGCTTAACATTTGGTCATACATATCCCACAGACCTTTATAGTACTTAAAAATCAACCATGCCAACACCTACATTTGGCCATTTCATTTCTTGATGAAGAGGTCTTATCTGCTATCAGATATTACTACAAAAAGGAGTTAAGGCTTACGA